GGCCTTGCGCAGTTGGACTTCAGGCTGGTCTGCAATTGCAACTTACCATTGTATGTCATTGCGGCAATTTGCTGAGAAAGAAGCAGGAAGGAGTGTTGAGAACATGCTGAGACAGAGTATTGAAACAGATGAGCAGCGTCAAAAACCTCTCAGAAACTGTTCAAACAAACTTGTAAACTCCAACTTGCCCGTGGAAGCCAAAGCTGCAGTCGTGGAAGCTCGCGGAAGCCACCGCATAAGTATATTACTTGTAAAATTCACCACCGCTGAAGCTTTGCGGAAGTGCATTTTTGATCTTCTTGACAATACTATATAAATGCTTCTACTACTGAGTTAATACTAAGGAGATCGATCTATCTAACCTATGAGCACTTTTGAGAAAAACATTGCCCTCGGAAGCCAAAACACAGGTCGCGGAAGCCCCGCGCAAGCATTGGCGGAAGCAAGTCATGAGTATAACAGATCGTAGACCGGTTTTTGACACCGCTCAGATAAGAGGGGACCAAGAAACATGCTGTGAAACACCTGTCAGATGCTGAGAAACAATTACAGAGCGAGCAGCCTTTGGCAACAGTCGTGAAAGGGTTTTGGAGAAGCGTTTCAAAAGCCCTTTGAGAACTTGCCATGATAGCCAGGGCGACTTCGTTCGGCTTCTGATCAATCATGATTATATAGGTATATATTGGGTTGCCGCCCTTGATGTCAGCTGTGTGCAGTCAACTTGATAGGGCGAATAGACCACATCCTAAATCAGAAAGACATTATACTGGGGCACTCTCTCTATATACATATATAGATATCATTGATGGATATCATGCCATCATGATATCACTGATATCACGCTGTAAAGGGATTGGAACGAATCAGTGGAAGTTAGGTGAAAAAGCAATCTGGGACAAGGTAGAGTGGACTGACAAACTGTTGGCTTTTCATTGAACGGTAAAGAACCATTGTGCAATTCACATATTTGAGATTCCATGATTGTACCCCTTTCTTGAAGTCATTGTTTTGAAAGAATGCATTGATGAGCTAACATCCTACCATGCACACTTGCAGTCACTTGCAAACTTGACAGGGATGCAGGCGTGCTGGGCAAAATCGCGAAGACGACCATTGCAACGGCAAAGAATTGTAAGGTCAAGACTGCGCTCGCAGACTTGCCGATGATTCTTGGCTTTAAAAAACCCTTCAAGCTTTCATGCAGAGGCTGGAGACTGCTGGATTCCTTTTTATCTTGTCGAGGATTGTCGTGTCATTGACCCGGCTTGGCTACAAGGATTTGTGCAATCGCGGAGACTGTCATGCTATGTGTGCTTGTAGAGGCTTTCGTTTTGTTTTTCTGGAGGATGTTGAAATGAGCAAGCTCTTGGATGCTGTTGCAGACAGGCTTCAGCTCGCTTCTGAGATCAATGCTGAAGAGGGCGCTAATCTTCACATGTGTCACAGGTGGAAGTCTCGGAATGTCCAATCTTGTGCAACAAGGCGACCACGAATGCTGAAAAAGATGCCAGATTGGAGTTTGGCTGCCCTATTCTGGTCTTGGCCAAAAGATGGGTCTATGCAGGGAGCCCCTTGGCCAAAGATAACATTCTCTTCAGCTGTCAACACAGGGTCAGTCCCTCAAGTCATTCGGTGCGTTCGATTTTTGGGTTCATAGCTACAACTTGATTCCGTTTGTTTCCGTGGGTTTTGCTTATTCAAGACCTGATGCCTTCATTGAACACCGAGGTCCGAGACATGCAAGGTCTTCTTGCAGCTGAGGCACGATGTACAAGCAACCTGTCTCGAGGTCTAGTTCGAGAGAGCTGGGTTTGGCCAGGTAGACAAGCGCATTGGGAAGAAGCTTTTCAATGTCAGGATGTTGGAAAGGACTCACTATGAGCTGAGACACTTTGGCTTGTAAGTGGACTTGACTATACTTTTTACTCGCAGCTTTTCTCACTGCGAAGAGAACAGGAGCTGGATGGGCCCGAGTGAGTGGAAAGAGACCCGCGCGAACCGCAAGAAAGCCGCCTAGGAAGTGGTGAAAAGACAGCAGCGCCATCAGGTTTTCAACTCTTTTTTAGCTTAGCTTGCTGGTCTTTTTAGGAACGAGGTTGCCAAATGACAGGTGAAAAATAACATGACAGAATCAAGCGCAGGTTCGCTTAGATGCTTTATTTGTCCTGATTCCCTGCGTGGCTCAGCCTTGTGTGGCTCTGCTCCTCTCTTTGCGAGTTTGATTCTAAGCAATTTATATACTTGGCTTCTCATTCACTCCACAATACGAACACACCCCTCCTTCTTCTAGGCAAGATGGCACAAGTGGAGACCATGTATCCGGATTTGTTTGGGGCTTAGCCGCACTTTGCCAAGCAGCTGATGAGACATTCAAGTTATTCAAGCGAGGTACTCGTATCCCATTCAAGATGCGACCAGAGCGGAGGTCCAGATGAGGCGGGTGCAAGGGGCTGCAAGCGTAAGAAACAGAGCTGACCAATTCCGGACAAGAAGAATAATGTTGACTGACTAGGAGCAAGGACGCTACTAGGGGCTCCTGGCCTTACTACTAGGAGCAGGGACGCTACCAGGGGCTCCTCCTGGCCTTACTACTAGGAGCAAGGACGCTACTAGGGGCTCCTGGCGTCGCTACTAGGAGCAAGGACGCTACTAGGGTCTCCTGGCCTTACTACTGGGAGCAAGGACGCTACTAGGGGCTCCTGGCCTTACTACTAAGAGCAAGAAGCTACTAGGGGCTCCTGGCATCGCTACTAGTAGCATTCTTGTTACTGGAAACAAGAAGCTACCACTGTATCAGTCTTGGGATGCGTAATTAGTGACTGGATGAGCACAAACGCAGGGAGCCAATAATTCTTCCTGCAAGAAAGTCGAGCCAAGTATGACTGATGGAAGACAGACACCTCTGGTTTGGCTGCATACTCTAATACTGTACACTGTACTGCTAAACGCGAGGGGGTTTCCAGTTGAAAGAGTCAGACTCTTGCACATGCATATGCACCAATACATATCAATCAAGAAACATCAACCTTGATTCCACTCAGTTTGGACAAGACTCATTTTGAAGTGAGAGGGCTCTTCACCAGGTATGTGCCACATGGTGTTCCGACCTTGGTAGCCACATTTGGGTCCAGCAGTTTTCTTTGTGGTCCTTCCAAGGACCAGAAAGAGGGACAATTATTTCTCAGCCCTGGAGATCTCGTGTGGGTCTGGCGCACAGCTTTGTGGCCCTGGCCCAACTGATCTGACGGCCACTGAGGTGCTGGAGGAGGCCAACGGCTGGTGCGGAGGTCACAAGGACTGCAGACAGGTGAAATGGAAAGCAAGCAAAGGTTTCAAAGGATCATAAAGAAACGAAGGAAGGTGTTTTGTTTGCAAAGACCTAGGACTCTCGTGAGTGCTTTTTCTAGGATATGGAAACCATGGGTGGCTCAGGAGGGAGATGAGCAAACTGGCTGGTTTCCAGCCAGCGTCATCCGCAAAATTCCCAGAGGACCACCATCAACCACCACCACTGCCGCCGCCTCCACCTCGTTTAGATTTCGATGGGGTCAGCAATCGCCATTCAGGAGACTGCATTGATGATGAGGAAGAAGACAGGATTTCTCTCACGAACATTTTCATTCATTGAGCTTTCTGCCAGAACAAATTCACATTGGGAACTTGTGCCAGGAAGAGCTCGCAACCCCAGCACGCTTGATTTCATTGAAATAGAAGTGATTCTGACATCCAGTAGGCGGTGTTTGACCGCCCACCACAAAGTTTAGAAGCGCATCATGTCAACAAAAGTCCACAAACCTCTTTTGCGCAACCTGTCTGGTCAATACACCTTTTCTGTCTTGCATGTATATCCTTTATGTCACCTCAACTCGTCTTGCCTGTAATTCAATGTATTTCATCATGTTTCAACAGTGTTTTCGGATCAGGTAGGGAGTAGCGATAGCTTCCCTCAGACACTAAACGGCTAAGTACAAATGGGTCTGTTCGTTTGCTTGACAAGACATACCCACTCAATTGGGCTCACATATTGACGCAGTCAGGGCGCTTTACACGAGCGACCACCGAGCTGTTGCATCTCCTCAGGCAACAATGCACACCAATGGTGTGAATGGTGTGTGTTTAGAAACGTAAATAGATTCTGCAAGACGGACCAAGTAACAGTTCAGAGCTCTCTGTCGCTTTTGCAATAGCAATACTAAGAAGTAGTCTCTGTCAAATTTTCATATGCACTCATTGGCAGACAAAGCACCGGAAAGTTTCAGCAGTTTGTGGCTCAGAGTATGCGGTGTGAAACCAGATTCGCGGTCTCAAGCAAGCCTTGAGAATCTCAACGTGCTTAGTTTGCTGATTGCTTCAGGTCCAAAATGAATTGGCAGAAACGAAGCAGCGGCTGGAAGCGGTCTGCCGCCCTTGAGTTGTGGTCGTCACCACTTTGTTACCTGTGCTGCAAACACAGAGAAGTAATTGGATTATCCAGCCTTGACGCCCTGCAGTTGCCAAGGCTAAGGTAGCTTTTGCATGTCTTGCACCATGCCGTACTGCCGTACCTCCAATCAGCTGCATGAAAACAGATGAGTAGCAGCTGACCGTTTGACCATCATGCATCTTGATTTCTCTTTCGGCTCCAAGTTCAATAGCATTCTCTAGGACTCTAGGACATGCTGGCAGGTTCCCTTGGTTGCCTGTGCAAGGGCCGTTCACTATCCGCAGTTGGCACGGTGCGCGTGCAGCAAGCTGCGATTTTTGTCAGTCATGGATGGATGAACTCAGAGCCGCGAGAAGGCTTTGCATCTCTACTATTGCCAGTTGTGTCCTTCATTTCTGGATGGAGACCCTTGAGGACAAGGCGTTATGCACAATGGAACCACAGCAGCTCAAATCGGTTCAAATTTTCATCCAGGCTTTTAGATGAAGGCAGACTCTCACTTAACCAGGCGCTGTCTTGTGCTGATTCGCACGTGCATGTGGTCAGAAGCTTTGGGCGAGGTTCATCATTTCGTCGGATGACCTGCGGGTTATTGGAGAAGTTCTTTCCAGATCTGAAGTCCAGCAGATTGATTTTGGCCAAGGATGACCCGGACCTTGATGTTTACAAGACCAATGCTGGGCCTTGGGCCAGTCGCATCATCATGGGAGTGAAGGGTGCAGAACGTCAGATTGCCTTCATTGATCAAATTGCTCCAAAAGGTCGGGGTACTTGGTTGACGCAGATGATCCAAGCGCTCGCAAATGCCAGGGTATAGCCGCCCATGCTGTAACTGTAACTACTACTTCCTCGAGTGGCACTTATATTAATAGTTCTAGGGATAACCAGAAATGCATTGCTGAAAGTAAAGGACACCCATTTCACGCCGTAACGCTGTAAGGTTTGACTGGTTGTGTGGCAGCTATAAGGCCAGGCCTGACCTGTTGATCCTTTGATAGTGGTTGACAGCCTCCTAGAACCAACTATATAGTGTTTCCAAGTCCATCTGATCAAGTGCACCGAAGCACCATTCCATCCCTCATGTTGTGGATACACGTCACGAGCAAAAGCACTGGTGTCATGGTTGTCTCCCCTCTTTTCCCAGGGTTGGTCCATTTATCTTGCCAAGAACAGTTTGGTCAGGGGAAGCTCGGAAGAGAAGCTTCAAAAGATTTCAAGGGAGGGGCGTTCTTTAAGGTGTTCTGTTTTCATATTCTGCTTTTGCCGCTTTTCTGCTTCTGCTGCTTTTTTGCTTTGTTGTTTTTCTGCTTTTCTGCTTTTCGTGATTCTTTTTAATATTATGCTTTTGCAGCTTTTCTCCTTCTGCTGCTTTTGTTGGTTTTCTGCTTTTCTGCTTTTTGTATTTTTTTCTGCTCTTTTCTTTTGCCGCTTTTCTGCTTCTGCAGCTTTTTTCTTTTGTTGTTTTTGTGCTTTTCTGCTTTTTGTGTTTGTTTTCTGCTCTTTGGTTTTGTTGCTTTGCTGCTTTGGCAGCTGTTTTCCTTTCGCTTTTGCTGCTTTTTGCTTTGTATATTTTTGCTAGCTTTTGTTTTTCTACTTGTTTTGCCTTTATTGTTTTGTTTGTTTTGGTTGCTCTTCTGTTTTTTTGCTTCTGTCGTTTTCTGTTGCGCTCGATATGTGTTTTGCTTGTCGTATATTCTCTTGTTGGCTTTTGGCTTTTGCTGCTATTTTTGTTTACTGTGTTGCATTTGTTGTTGTAGCTTCTTGCATTGTTTTGGGCTTTTGTAGCTGTGTGTCGTTTCTTACTTTTTGTGTTTTTGCTAGCGGGGGCTTAACCGGCCCCTATTTTCATCTATTTTCTATGAATTTCTGTACATGTTGCATGCTGTGAGGATATTGCATGCTGTCAGATCCCACACTACTTGTAGTAGCTTTACTTGTTAAACACGCACATTATCGCTTCAATCGAAGGGCTTCGGTGTTTTGGGGGGTGGGTGGGTGGGTGGGGGGGCAGTAACGTTCGTTGGAAAAACGACACACGTTTCGCAGTTTAGGTTCGAATGTCAGAGGATGACCCCGTGGTTTTGTCTCTTGTGTTGGTTTTGCTTATTCGTTTGTCTGGTCCTTTTTTCTTGTTTAAGAACCACCCAGTCTTGGCCCGTTTCTTTCTTGTGGATGCGTTGTATTTTGATAGACGTGCTGACGTCATCTGACGTCAAATTGTGTGTTGGATCCCATGTGTTCCTTTGTTAGGTAAGCAGTTTTGTTAGAAGACCGTGCTACGAATGCTTTGTCAAAGCTGCAGTCACATGCGGCCGATGGAACACACACGGCTTTGATTAGTGGAGCCGGTTGCTACAAGTCCCTCGCAGCACAAAACAGTGTGAAGCACATGGCGTGTAACCATGCTGCAGGATTTCTGTCAAGACCAACAAAAATGAGGTCCCCGGCCTGCTGTCCATGCTCTGTGGAAATGTTTGAAAGAGCAAGTTCCGTGGTCGTTACGAACACGCACGAAGAACAAGAAAGTGAACCCCTTGCGTCTCCACTACACTCGTCAGTCAATTGCGATACGTGCCAAAAAACGGAACTTGCTCAAAAAGAACGGGGCAGACAATGTTCAAACGTCGTGTGGCGAGCGAAGAAACATACGTAGCTGATGCCCCCAATCCAAGATATCAAGGCTTTGGCGCTCAAAACGCAGGTTTTGAGCGTTTTTCTCGCATAAATCAAGCAAAGAATAACAACAGACTGAACTCCAAAATGATGTTTCTGCAGTTTTTCATAGAAAAGAGAGGTTAAAGCCCCGCAGGGGTGTTTTTGCCTTTGCTGCTGTTGTTGTGTTTTTCTGTATTTTAGTTGATGTTTGTGCTTATTTTTCACGAAAGCTAGCCTTAGCTAGCTGGAGTTGCTCTTGCTTTAGCA